GCTGAGAAGTTACCAAACAGGAACTTATTTGTTACACTGACCATTCATAAGGAAGGCACTTCTTATTTCAAGACTACATATTCTGGCCGTTTCACAATAGCAGCCCGTGGACAGGAGAAGGAGTGCGAATGGGTCAGCAGCGTACAAAGATCGTGAATTATTCGGACCAATTTCGGTCACTTTTTATCCGGCTCGTCCAAATGTGTCGCTCGTTTGTGTACATCCCTTGTCTCTAGAGTTCATCGATGTTGATCTGCAACAACATATAATGTTTGGTTTAATTGATTACCCAGTTGTATAATTCACAACCGAGATTCATGATGTGATAGAGTAGATGTTGAAAAGTGGATATGTTGATGCACCGACTTTGTATTAGCTCGAAGACTAGATTCTTCATAGTGTAAAATTTCATGCAAATAAAGTTTAAATGGAGCTAAAGTCTCAACAGTATGGTAAATTCTTACCGGAGCAAACATACCGTCTTTATCACTTCCAAAAGTTTGAATAGGAATAAGAGTATAAATTGCATTTTACCGGGTTCACGTGCAATGGACTTTACAAATCGCGAACCCCATTTATGAATAAGACAACATTGCGAACATTATGGGAACAAGTAGCACTTATTGCTTTGTTTCTTTTTGCCCTTAATATAAACGACTGGTCTTAAAAATCATACACACTGTTGTTTTTTTTGTTACCAGTAAAGTGGATATGTCAAGAAAAAAGCGATTCTTTATACACGGCAGCCATTAGTAACGGTGGGATAAATCCAGATGTACTATATGTTGCCACATTTCCTAGTCATGCTAAAACTCCAGAGTAGTTCAACAAACGTAGGTGAATGCGGACATCATTGATAGTTTTCCTTGAGAAAAAACTTGATAAGCTGACGATTCAGTCGTTCATGGGTATCAGACAAAATTTCACTATGTGCACTGCTCATATTGCTGGCTCATAATTGCTCCGAGTTTGATATGTGGAACCCTCGGAAAACAGTGATTTTAAGCTAAGACTAAATACCCCATTTTGTCTGTATCACGATGCGAAATGTTGCTTCCTTTTCAGTCAATGAATATTAGTTTTGCTTACGTTGGGAATATTTTTCCTACTTAACCAGCTTTAACAACCGAATTGCAAATCGAATTGTCATCTTCGCCTCCAAATTGCCATTGTGTCGAGTCAGATGATTCGCCGCTGTTCCCGGACAATCGGCATTCAGTATAGAAGGAAGCATGACGGACTGAACTTAGGATATCTAAGGGGGTCCAATAAAATAGTATATCTTAAAAACAACCCATCGTTTCTCTGTTAAAATGGATGTGAATAAGCAACCACGCAGTTGAAGATCTTTCTCGAATGGCATTCGGGATATTCGCCAGGTTATCGAAAACAATCAGTGCGGATTGAAAAGCTTTGCTTTTACACATTAACTATACATCCGCATACTCGCGAATCGCATGCAACCAACACGTGCTTGATGTTGAACTCGCAAGCATCAGTCGAGACAACTGACGCATTTTGCAAAGGCCTGTTAGCAACAGGCGGTGCAGTTTCATCACGTCGGTTGCACGCAACATGTGAAATCGATGTTCATGACCATTGTCTCTTCGAGGTGAAAATGGATGGGCTAAGTTCGACAACTAAAGGTCCCCTCAAAATGTTCTGCCACACGCATAAAGGTCAATGTTACATTACTCGAATAGTGGTAAGACTTCTACTAACGTCAAAAAAATATGATGCATTTTTGCGGCCATTTACTCTGGCGTCACTGGGCATGTCAACAATCTCAGCATGTACAATCAATGTTTTCAAGCATAATTATTAGTCTTTCAATAGTTGCTTCATTACTGCTGCCTCAACTTAGCACAATAAGAAAGATGCTTGAGTGCTTATTTGTGGCATTCTGACTAGTTCCTAGCTCAGAATTTCGGCTTGCGGCCTGCAATGCGCAGTGCGCCAAGTTGATGAAGACAGTTAAGCGCGTCTGATGTTGGGTTGCTTAAGTTTCTACCACATCGTCATACCCCACAAGTGTCAACAAGCTGAGTCCCAAGGCCATTTTGTGACAACCAAAACGGGATGCTCTGTGCCCCTTGCTGAGGCTGATGTTGCATTCATGATGCTTCTTCACCGCGGTTGGGCTAAGCCAACTTACACTTAAACTAGGTCTTTTTAATGTGGATAAAATTCATTACATGTTATTTGGTTTGTTGTGCGTACTTGACAATCTTCTCCTTACTTGCACACGTCGCTCACGCAAATTGTGGTAAACTTGTGTAATGTTATCGCGTGGTAATTTTTAAATAACTTTCTGACATTTTGTACTTATCACGGATTCACATTTAACTAATTTCTTCCATATGCTCATTTAGCGAGTATTTATGTCGTCATATGCGTTTACTTTAATCGATATCGGCATTTCGAATGATTGGCTGTTGTTTGACATTCCAGGTGTGGCTGCGCTTGATGTGCATGTTGACAAGGTGCCTACCTGTCTATTATTCACTACCTCGTCCATACTGCCTCTAGGAGATAGTTGGTCGTTGCTGGAGAGGAAGAGGTGTACGATCCTTGTGTTCGTGCTAGGCTCCAAGAGTGGTTCCATGCACTCAGTGTGGAGCGGACCACGGTCCAGTTACCGCCTTATGTGCACTTGATTCCCCAAATACAGGGTGTTTGTGTTTGCCTGTGAAGGAGTGTGGGCTGCCTCAGTTGATGAAGCATGGCTCCCATCCACATGCCTCCCGGTCTTATTCCTTCGGGTTTACGCTGGATATGGGATGTGTAGTTGGAGCTGTGGGTGGTGCAGCGCAAGCCATCCATGGTCCCTCTGTAGGTGCAGGCGTCCTGTGGCTGACCACAGTGACAGGCAATTCCGAAACCGGATGCCGCCAACCATAAGGATGCTCTGCTAGGTGCACTTTAAAAATACTCGCATTTAGCAAATAGGCGCATTTCCTGCAAGTTTGTACTTAACCAAGTTTTGGGACTTCCAATTCTTAGTTTCAAGGCTTTAGTGATTTCTTTTCTTATGCACAGTTTGTCAGGCGGATGGATTAGTGACTGCGAGTCAACTGTATGCTGAAGCACATGACTAGTTATGTACTCAGTAGATATCCTATTGACATCTGTAAGAGTGGGTCCCACGATACACTATACCCACTCAACCGCCATGCTATTTAATAATCTTATCAACTGGTAGTTCGGAATCCTTTTGTTTAGGATTCAGGTAGCCAGAATCACCAACAACTACTTTCCAGCGAACTACCATTGCCCAGTTTGTAACACTTGAGCGTTCCTTTTAAAAATCACTCAAATTTGATCTCTCCATTTCGTGCAGTACGAATTGACTGTCTGAATTAACGCAATACTTAATCTTCACTTTGTATTCATCCAAGTTGGGATAATTTAGAAATTAATAACTGAGATAGCCATAGTCTATTTTTCACTTCTGTGGGTTAATTGAAGTGTATTCTGAGACAGGCACGCTGTCCACTGCGATATTTTTGCCTCATAAATTAATTTAGTTTATTTTGTGAAAGGATCTATAAACAAGAGTCCACAAATGATATAGTTTCCGCTTCATTTAAGGCTGCTGACTTGATTAACAAGATATTTGTCTTTCATAACCAAATTCCTGACATTCCACAATTATTAACTTGCCCTACTGTCACGGCTCTGTGAACACCACCACAGTGGGGGATCGACAATTTGTTTAGCTTTCACATTGTAACCGCTTGAGCCAAAATTTTCCCGCAATCCATTCAGCAACGGCCTCCTTTTGTTCTCGGTGCAGCCATTGTAGAAAACGCTGACATTAGGGAGACGAGAGTGATTGCTTTTAAAGGCTACCACGTAAACTGTGTCACTCAATTTTCGACACTCGACTGTGATGATCAAATGGTCATTCACAGAGCTAGCAAAGGCAGCACCTTTCATAAAACACCACACATGACAGGGCCTTAGAAATCGGCGGCCACCTTTTGTACTGGAAATTTGTTTTTATCTTATCTTCCGCAGCTTTAACAGTTTCCACCAAATATCATTAATATTTCCTAGATTGCCTTATTTTAGCATTATTATCGGGTTGATTTATTGAACAAGAACTTAAGGTACTGCGAGTGCTACATGAAAATTTATCAAGAGGTGTTTTCATAACTTGTAAGACCATTGTCTCGATTGACAAACCGGTCTCCGACACTGTGCATTCAACAGCGAGCAAATACCAATGATTTGAATCATCAAAGGAAATTACCATCTGCGTTTACACAGCCGTTTATTCGGTGACACTTGCGCATCCCGTGCAATTTTTACCTATGAAATGTGCCTTTTTAACCTTGATATTTTAATCCTTCCGCAGTGGTTATTATAAAATGCTGAAAATGTCTCCACCGTGGTACAGAAATTCTATATTGAGCTAACTTGAAAAAAATGTGGTGGACATGTGTTTGCAAATAATAACAATGGAAACAGTCCTAAGTTTATTCCTCAACTCTGTCTTAAGTCCATTCTAGTAACCGCTCAACAGGTGGAATAAGGCCATAGGGCAAGACAAATGTTCTAGAATGCGGTTAGATCACTTCATCAGTAAGTAATGCAATTCTAGCCTAAGTAAGTACTATGGCGAAAACTCTTCATTTAGATAACTTGTTTGTCCTTAAAATTTGCAAGTAAAGCCTTGTTTATGCTTCGCTTTATATATTAGAGAAAAAACAAAATAAAAGCGCCTTCAAATGAAATATATAACCTTTATTCTGATAGTAAATGCTCCTTGGCGGAACCTTGCTGCTGCTGAGGATAGTAAAATCTCGAAAATAAAGTTCGTATGAAAAACCTTACCTTGGAGATTGGTGGACGCGTGAACCCCCACACTACATGGTAAGCAATGCAACTGATTACTGTTACTTCAACAAGCCGTCAGTAAAACAAGCAACTAAACTGGCAAGAGCAGCACGAACTTTTAAGCGGAATAAAACACAATATTCATATTACGCACGAACCTCTATTTTGCTCCACCATCATTAGTTCCTTGAAAAAACTTGTCCAACCTCTTTTTTCGGTCGACCCGATCTGGTCCTTGTTCCGCATTAATCTTGGCACCCTTTCAGTAGTCCGGTGAGTGTAGTGGTAAATCTGGGGTTGCCGTCTAAACAGAGTGATGTAAAGAGGATCGAACCAACGTCGGGCTGTCACCAACTCATGGCCTGCGCACTGATCGGTGACACATACACACACGCAACTGCGCAGGCGGTGTCGAAATTTGGGGGAATGAGACGCGCAGATTGGTGCCCGGGCGTTCTTCGTTGCCCCAGGGAAATTCCACGGTACAGCGGCCAATGAAAGCCAAATATGCTTAATTCGCTAGGTAATCATGCAGTGTGTTTGGCTGACAAGAAAATGATGTCTTAATTTTATACCTCACTCCCAACTACCATGGAACATTTTTACATGTTATTGTAGTTCCAGATGTATTCGTCCCCTAATAACTTGTCTTTGATTCAAGTATTACGTAGCAAGTTGAGGAGATCCAAATTTCCCTTGATTCTCGGGAAGTTTATCTAGTGGGTCTGTGACTACCTCTGCATTGCGAGTGAACCTAACATGGCGTCAGCATTGAAATAACCACTACGGAGAGGCTAGTATCTGGTGATAAGTGCTTTGTCTTTAGCTCAGGATCAAATCTTCCCATTCAAGTTGTCTGTAATGATATGATCACTGCAATGACAATTGTAACAAAGTAGTTTATTATCGTCTTTCACACCATTCCCTGAGTTACTATTCCAGTTTGGTAATTAAGCGTTCCCATTCGGGGTATCATAGAGAGATGGTGACACTCACCAGCTGTTGATGATGCCGATTGACCTGTACTACCGGTAACCACTCTCCAGTGGTAAGCGTGACACTTACAAACACATCAGAGTTTCTTGGCTTTGGCATTACAGTTCTGCGTTTCACTAGCTTAAAATGCGCTACTACAGAACACAGACATTACAGTGAAATCGACTGTAAGCGTATTTGCAAAACCTTCGGACGCGGTTGTGTTAATTAATACATTCGTTATCAACAATGGTACATTAGTAAGTGACAATAACCTTACTGCTGCAGAACTAATCTGTTCCATTCAGAAGGTTTGCGAGTTGGGTGTATAGGTGACTCGGACTGCGGTGACACACTGTCATTCAAATTGGATGGCTGAATAACAGTTAACAGATTACCGCATATTGATGAGGAAATTACTTCTGAAAGCTTGCAACTTGGCATGTTATACAATCTGAGTAACTTCGCAGTGACCTCAGTAGCATAAAATGCACCATCGTTTTCGCTTCTATGCAGTACCTGCAAAGAAAACTTATACCTTTTCCTGGGCAGATGGTGTGTGGGTACACGGTGAAACCATTCATGCGGTGACGGCATATTACATTTACATCGCATGTAAGCTGCGTTGATTATCGCTAACATTTGTCATACAGCGGAATTCACGGCTTGGATTTGGGTAATACTATCCGTCAGGGTAGCAACTCCTATGTTCAGGATGAGCACAGCAATGATAGTGCCAATAGCTCATGCACCTATAGGTAGTAAGTAATTCTGTTGAATGAGAAAGTCCTTTTAATATAGTGTGTCGCACAGATGAAGTTAATCTAACAGAACATCCTAGGTCTGTGAAAAAGGCTGCTATTATTGAAAATTGCTTAAAACATAGCCGTTACTTTAGCCTGATAGAATTATCATACTGGATCTAGAAATATGTAGTGAGTCTTAGCAAAACTACTGTGATGTATACATTCAGTTTCATGCTTTATATGGCCACATGATATTCTCCTATCACAGTATAGTTCAAGTTATACATAACCGCCAATCGTTCTCTTTTGTTGGTTAGAATCTTTAGATCCCATTTGTTATTCGCGACACCATGAGCAAACAAGCTTCTGACAAATGCAATTATAGGTAGAAATTCGTCAAACCTAGACTCACTCAGACAGCCGTCACACGCCCGGAAAAGCACTGTACGCGCGGTACATGCATTCTGGAATCGTCAACAGTGAGCATTCCATCGGACCCTGATAGGGCTCTAACCCGCAAAGCGACTGTTACCAGTCCGTGGTTGAGACATCTGAGCTACGGGGGACGGCAACGACCATCGTGAATAAGTTACTAGATGTGATATAGTGCCGCTTACTCTCCATTGACTTACACATTACTGCCGTGCAGAGGATAGGGTAGCCCCCTCACCCAGTGACGAGCTTACCAAACTTAAGACGCCAACTAACTTATGGCATTATAAGCCGTTTGGTCTGCGTACTGATTACCATTCAACGCCCCTACTACTATGCAATCAGTGCGCAGACCAAACGGCTTATAATGCCATAAGTTAGTTGGTGGCTTAAGTTTGGTCAGCTGGTCGCTTGGTGAGGGGGCTACCCTGTCCTCTGCACGGCAGTAACATGTAATTCAGTAGATAGTGAGCGGCACTATATCACATCTAGTAACTTATTCACCATGGTCGTTGCCGTTTCCCATAACTCATTGATCTTAACCACCGACTGGCAACAGTCGAGTTGCGGGTTCGAGCCCTACCAGGGTCCGACGGAATGCGCACTGCTGACGATTCCCGAAAAGAGGAAAGGCGCGAACAGTGTTTTTCCGGGTCTTTCTTTGCCAGCTCATGTATTAATTTTGCGTTGTATCGATATGACAAACGATTCACTCTACGAGCAAAGGAGAGCTGAAGTTCATCTTGAGGTTGGAAAGCAAATAACCTACATTCAGGCCCGAGCACGAATAGACATCTTCAATGAAACAACTGAATTTCAGCCTCAATAACTTCACACTTGTTAGAGGGAGATGGCTCCAGTTTTTTGACACCTTCTAAGCCCACATTTTGACCAACCATCAAGTTCCAAGAACGTCGGTTGTTGAGCTTATCACGGGAACCTACCTAGAAATTCTCTGATGGTTACCGTGTGACTTACGTATATATGGTCGACTTCACATCCAACGCCTAAATCAGACATCAACACCAGTTGCTTCTCAAGCATGGTAACACCACATATCTTCAATCGGATACAACCGTCACAACACTTCATGATTCTTCGTATCATGTGGGAAATTTCAGAAAACAGACTTGATCCTACCAATCTAGTAATGAAACCAGACTCAATTTCTAATAATTTAAAATTTTGTTTAATCGGGCTAAAGCCCCCCAACTTTCCGCGATTCCGCGAAACACAGTAGAATGGTGGAATTTACAGTCTGTCGCGGTAAACGAAAACTTTTGCGGAATCGCAGAAAAAAAGAAATTCATAAAGAATGAAACTCTGAATCTATGTCTGTTATACTAAATACACTTAACACCGGAGAAATACGGAAGCAGCTAGATGACTATTGGAACCCTACACTGGAGTTTCATAACCACTATTTATTTACCATCTACCGTCCAATTCACCTAATCTCTCCATTCATAGTTATGGCCACAGCTGGAGGAACCATTCCGCGCAGTTGGATAATGCGTACAGACTTCAGCCGTGTGACGACTTTCATGTTCTTTTACGCACGACAAATGGCTGCATGCTATAGAGATGAAATTAAGTTTGTTTGTTACAGTTCCCATTACATGTGTTGCCCATTGCATCAATTTGATTGCAGAGACCCTACGCAAATTCTCCCCAGAATTCGATGGCTTCGTTGCAAAAATGAAAGATGCTTTCGGTTTTCGGCAAGTAAGAGTAATATTTATGAATGGAAGGATTTTGGTGAGTATTTTTGTTCGTCGCAATCAGCTGACAATTCAGATATGGTCGACCATGTCTGAATTGTCAGCTGATTGCGACGAACAAAAAGAATCACCAAAATCCTTCCATTCATAAGTAATACCAATTCGCCCTTACGGATTCCACAAAATGCTATGTCGATTCATAGCTGCCGTAACCGGGAAGTCCTGACGCCGGACGGCCGACCGCTGTCATCTGCATGGCAGGTGCCTGCATGGCAGTGGAGGATGCGTCGGGCTATATCGCATTTAGCTAACAATTCATGACAGTCAGATACCGCCCTCCATGGCGCAGTTGCATAAGCTGCGGGCTAGTTGGCAAGAGCCACTAGCAGTCATGGGTTCGATCCTCCGCAGAGGACCGAAGGATGCGCACCACTGATGAGCCCCAACAGGGCGAAGCGGCCGTCTGGTGCTTTTCCGGATAGCTGGTCGACAAATCTGAATTGTCAGCTGATTGCGACGAACAAAAGTAAGAGTAATGTCTATATTGATTATCCATCTCGGGAATGCTTGCATAACCTGACCAGCCCACTTGCACCGGTCATCACTCGCTGGAACTCCTGTCTGGAAGCTGTCGCACGTCACTGCAAGTAGTTCCAGCATGTTGCAAGCTGTACAACATGAATTTGGAGACTCAGTTAGTGTTCGTGAACCTGTGGATATTCTAACCAACAAAACAACACGAAAATTTTTAAAGTGTCAACGTAGTTGCAATGCGACTGTTGGAAAGAACATCATCCTCCACTTAAGAACTACCTAATCATAGTCTCCGGTAACCCATAAGATTTACAACGACCTCACCGATTCATGTCGCTGAAAATCGCTGCTGATAGAAACTGGCTGCAGCATCTGCTGGCACAGTGACTGACATTTGATGCGTCTGGCAAAATCCAAACTGACACGCACCTCTGCTTTTCCCTAGATACCATAAAACCCAGGAGTTGCTGACACCACCGACTAGCTAACCGTTTCGAAAGCTATTAGATTGCTCGATCTTGGCCAGCTCATCCTCTTGTCCAGTGTTCCATGCAGCTTTGCCGACGTTCCGGGCCTGGTTGGCTCCCCAGCTCTGGCAGCCGAATGGCTAACCTATCAAAAAGCGGTCGAAGAACTGCGAGAAGGAAGATGTAAAAACACGCTGGCTTTCTTCTGTGAGATGAATGAAAGTACACTAGAACTGGCAAAATATGTCGGCTGTTTTGCATATATTTATGCGTACTGGGAGAATTTGAACGGAGCTTCAGTGACTAAAATTTAGTGTCTGACAAGTGACAAAACGTTTCAGACAGTAGCACGAAACACCTTGATGGTCCTTATTTTAATTCCACTGTTTGAACCATGAATGCTATGTGAACTGTATGTGCGTGTGCTTCGCTTTCTGTTTATTTTAGCTTTC